CCCCAAAACCCCAAAACCCCAAAACCCCGTAATTAGAGATTGATTCTCAATATTGATACTTTAAATTTATTGATTAAATCAAGGAAAATTAATTAGGGTAAGAGTGATAAATAAGCATCGTCAGTTATTGTATTTTGATTGAGCTGTTTTTACAGTTCTTATCCCTATTGAGTAAGGACTTATAGTAATAGTGTCTTCCATCTTGTTAGTCTCTTTACGATCTAAATAGCTTTGATAGGATGCAACACTGTCTTCCTAATCTCTGCTTACCTTCATCTACTTTGAGTAAGTCTAGGTATTAGTTCTATGTACATGCGAGTATGGAGTCTCCCTAGTCTAGAATGATTTCATGCTTCCTGTATTCATTGTTTTACCACACAGCATTTGCTGCTCCTTTTTAGCATAATCGTAAGATTTATTTATTAAGTCTGTCTTTTACTACCTCAAGGCTTATTAGTTCATGTAGAATCTCTATGCTGTCAAAGGTGTTTTTGTCGCTCTGGCATAATTACTAACACTACTTTATGGTCTATTTTTAACTCTTTAGAGATTAAAACCAACCATACTTGAATTTCCAAGGCTAGATTTACGCTGAAATCCCTCTGCTTGAGAACTTTATTGATTCTATTATGATTAATGCTGCTGCAGCTATAAGTTATTCTGAGCATCCTAGCTTTCTCTAAGTTTTCTTAATTACCTTTATTTATCTTATTTTTCTTTTAAGGATTTAATAAACTCCATTTTCTGATAGTGCATATCAGAATACAAGGGACTGTCAGGTATTGAAATTAAACTACTACTATTATCTTTATCCTCATAGTAAAGCATATTAGAAGTTGATCTCCTCTTCTTCTGAGATGCAGCCCCACATCTTGTGCTATTCTTAATAAAGTAGGCATGTGTGTCAATTTCTTTAGGAATTTTCTTAAATAATGTTTTCTGCTGATACAATTCAAGATCTTAATCTAGATCTTACTCTAGAATACTTTTTTTAATCCCATGAGTTCCTCGAAGTTACTTAAACTCCTCTCTAATATTTAAATCTTCTTCTTTAATTCCCTCAAATTCTAGCTATTCCTTTATAGATAAATTTTTATTAGTCAATCTCTGTTTTAGAATTGTATTTTATGGCTTTTTATTAATGCTAGCAGACTTTAACCTTTCTCGATAAGCTTTTTGCTATGCTAACTTATTAGGGTCTTACTAGCTTTTGGTAAAATTAAGATTAAAATTCGGATTCTTGCTATTTTATTTTAAGAGAAAGCTATTGTTACTGGGTTGATCTTTGCCATTTTCGTTTTCGAAATCAATGTCAATCATTTATTCATCATTAATTAATTTGAGTTTTTTTAGTCTGAACTTGATTTGGCTTATCTTCTTATCTACTTTCGTAGCATCAATCTTACTGACTGAGTTAAGTTAGTGTATTTCTTGTTTGATCTATTTAAGATCATCAAGTTCATTCTCAATAGACATTTTACTTTCTTTAAGACACATTACTAGGTTATTAATATCACAGAAATTGAGGAACTTCTCCTTATCATCCAACCTATCTATAATTGCTTGCTTTAACTTTGCCTCAAAATCTTGGATTCTAGTTCCTTCTAGTTAAGTATATACCGCTGTGTTTGATTTCATTGAAGCTGACTTTGATTTTTTCCTCTGCAATAGATTTGCTGATTGAAGTCTTTTTCTTATTTTATTCTTAATCTCCTCAGATTTCTTTGGATTTTTTTCTGTCTCAACCCTTGAGAAAGTTTTGTCAATTGCTTGTGAGATACCTTAGTTAGGCTAGCTATAATTTGATTAAAGTTTGACAAGACTTCTATCTACGATAAACTGACGCATCTAATCTTCATTTTCTTTGGTAAATTCACCTATCAAGTCTTCAATAGTCATAACTTTATCTTTTGCCTTTTCATTGTCAGTTGTGCTCTATTGATTACTTTCTATTTTGTTGGTTATTAGATTATGAACATGTTATGGACTCATTACTTGACCAGGAGTATGACCCAGTGCCTTGCGGTAAAGCAGCAGAAATGAGGCAGAGTCTCTATACTTTGAGAACTTAATTTAGGTGTCCTTTGATGAAAACTGACGTTACGCCCTGTATGCTTTCCTTGCATCTTCATGCTTTTAAAAGTATTGATACTTAAGGTCTCTCAGCTAGTTAGATTCTTCGACTTTCGATTTCTTTTTATTTGGATTGAAGATTTTAGAGTTGAGTTGAATGTCAGGCATTACGAATTCAACACGATCTTTCACTAGCATTTTTAATGTTTATATAACGTATTAAAATATAAATAAATATGCTTTTGTAAGTTATATAATTCATAATTTACTATCAATTGCAATAAATTTTTATTGCTTGGGGTTTTGGGGTTTTGGGGTTTTGGGG